GTGCAGGCGAGGGGGAGGGGCTGCAGGGACACAGAGGGGCGCAGGGGCGGGCCCCGAGGTCAGGGGCCCCTGGCCTGTCTCCCCAGCCGTGCGACCCAGCTGGGCTCTCACTCCAGCTCAGGTCCTCAGCCTGTTCCCAGGCCTCAGTTTCCCCAGTTGCTTTGAACTGGCCTCAGCTTTCCCGTCAGCCTTGCCTCTGCGCTTGGTCTGCGCTTCTCCGTGACCCCCCTGCAGGGGGGCAGTGCTCCCAGCCCCCTCCCTCTCTGTGACTGGCTCCTGGCTCACAATGGGTGTCCCGCTGTCCCCAGCTGTCAGAGCTCCTGCACCCCCCACTGCCATGGCAGTGGGTGGGAGCCCAGGTTCAGCTCCTCCCCTGGCCCGGAGGTGACCTGGGTTCTGGGTTGCAGGCTCCGGGCCGGGCTTGTACATCCTGCCATCCACCGTGGGCTTCGTCCACCATGACTGCACCAGGGTGACCGGCCCCGCCTACTCACTCACCCGGAGGCCCAGTGAAGGTGAGGGGTGACGGAGGGAGCACATATGCCTGGTTGAGGCAGGAAGCAGGCAGGGCTGGGGGATGATCTGCCCACCTGCCCCGGCTGTGTGACTTCAGGCAAGCTGCTGTCCCTGTCTGGTCCTGTTTTCTTAGTGATAAAGAGAAAGGAAGGAGAAGATGTGGCGGATTATGTTTAAGACCTATTTTTTTGTTTGTTTTTTTGAGACAGGGTCTTACTATGTAGTTGAGACTGACCTGGAACTCACTATGTAGCCCAGGCTGGTCTCGAACTCACAGCGATCCTCCTGCCTCAGCCTCCCTACTTCTGGGATTACAGGCGTGCGCCACCATGCCCGGTTTAAAACCTATTTTTGTTTGGCTTGTTGGTTTTGCAATTCTGTTGTTTGATTTTAGGCGAACTGCTTGATTGCTCTGTGTCCAAATTTACAGGGCGTGGTGGTCCCCTGTCATTCCAGCACTCAGGAGACTGAGGCAGAAGGGTTGCCACGAGTTCAATGCCTGCCTGGGCTACATAGTGAAACCCTGTCTCAAAAAGAAAAAAGAAAAAATGTTAACATCAGTGCTGAGGCTGTGGCTCAGGGGTAGGGCCCTGCCTGGCTGGCCTGAGGCCCTGAGTTCATCTTCAGTACCAAAGGGGAAGAGGATAGCTACCATGGTTTCTGGTGTCTGGTGAGTGCCCAGTAAAAGTGGGCTGAGCCTCACTTTCCTCACTGGGCCCTGCCACTTGCACGGTTCTTGTGAGCATAGTGTGAAGACTCCTTGCTCTGTGGTGGGTGTGTTAAGACGGATACTTCCTGGGGACGCTGGCTGAGGGGGACTGGAAATCATTTGCTGGAGGCCCAGGGTACACTGAGAGGTGATCTGAGCGGTAGCCTGGGATCTGGGCTTTGTGGGATGAAGAGGAGTTTGGTGGAGGCCTCAGGAGAACGGAACTCTACAAACAGCCTATAGCATAGGTGGGGCATGTTGTAATGGGTTGGGATACATTCATTTGTCACAGAGCTGAGGGGGGGGGAGTAGAACAGGCTGTGACATGTGAGAGCGCAGGGGAGAGACCAAGCGCTGAGTCTACTTGCCATGTCCTTGCTGGTGACTTCCTGCACTGGAGGTTCCACTTTTTTTTTTGGTGGTGGTGGGGGCAGGGCCTCACTAGGTAGCCCATGCCAGCCTTGAACTTGAACTCCTGGCCATCCTCCTGCCTCAGCCTTCTGCGTGCTGGGCTTGTAGGTGAGCACCACCACACCTGGCTCCATTTCTGAGAAAGGGATCATAGCAGATTCTCCCCTGGGGTCGCTGAGGCACTGGGAGAGAAGCAATGGCTGCTCATGTGTGGCCCCTGCAGGCCTGACCCTGGGCGTTGTGAGCTGTGCCCTGGGCTGGGGGGAGGGGGCAGAACCAGACCCCTGTGGCTGGTGCAGGAGTTGTGTCCCCATCGGGGACTTAGGGTGGGATGAGGGAGACTGGAGCTTGGGTGACAGTACAGCCTCAGCAGTCCGCCGGAGACGCATTCCTTGGGGTGTCAGGCTGCCCGTCCTCCCCGGGGGCCTCAGACTCCGGACCCTCTCCAGCATCTCCTCAGGACGCCAGTCCAGGGCCCATCTACTTCCTGGACCCGAAGGTCACCCGCTTTGGCCGCAGCGGCAGCCCTGCCTACTCCATGCAGGGCCGGGGCAAGTCTCGGGGTGAGTACCGGCCAGAGGTGACACATGCGGACTCCCTCTGACCTCCTCCCTCTGCGGTGGCAGACCACAGATGTCTCTGGGATGCAGTCCAAGGGACTCAGAGGAGGGACCACGGGGCCCTAACAGGACCCAGGTGCTGGGTGCAGGGTGCGGAAGGGCCAGGGCCACAGGGACCCGCGTGCAGCAGTGCCACGAGGGCAGCCAGCTCGTTCCAGGTGCCGGGACACAGGTGTGCAGGGTTCCAGGAGAGCGACCTCGGGGCCCACGCCTCCCCTCGGTCACGTGACTCCGTCTTCCTCCTGCTCACCCTTTCAGCCTCCCAGCTGATTCCCATCTCGTCTTCTGCCCACTGACCTGCTGTCAGTCATCCAGCGCTTTCACTGACGTACCCGTGGTTCCATGCACCCGTCCAGATACCCGTCCTTCAACCAGCCGGTGTACTCCTGTTGTCACCAGGCCCTCTCACATGCCCACAAATCCATCCACTTCATTCCATCTGCGCATGGTCTCCCCATCCATCCACCCATCCATTGTCCACTCGTCCATCCCTCCATCCATCCGTGCACTGCCCGGCCCTC